CGCCCGACGAGGCCGTCCGCGACGTCGGGATGGCCCCTGTGGAGGTTGGGATGGTCCCTGTGGAGGTTGGGATGGCCCCTGTGGAGGTTGGGATGGTCCCTGTGGAGGTTGGGATGGTCCCTGTGGAGGTTGGGATTTTCCCCGTGCTCGACGAAGGCGCCTCCTCGGCGAGGAGGCGATTCAACCGCGGCGGGGACAGCCACACCGGGGCCGCGTGGAGACGACGGATCCACCCCACCCCATCCTCCCGACCTCGCCGCATCACGTTGGGCGGAAACGGAAAGGGAAACGGGAAAAAAAAAGAGTGAGAGGGGGGGGGGGTTGAAACCCTTGGGTTTTTTTTTTTTCGGTTCGGTTCTGTTCTCTCTCGCTCTCAGGTTTGGGTTTCTTTTTCCTTTCGCCCTTTTTTTTTCTTTTTTGTGGAGTCTCGTTTGATACTCCACGGCGCGTCTTGTGGTAAATCCGACCCCACCAGAAGGCTTCCCGTTAGTTAGACCACAAAGACGCTGCGGTTGGAGGGGATTAGGGAGGGGGGAGGGGGGAAAAAAAACGGAAACCCGATGGATGGAATTTGGGTCTCGTCAGAGGAAAAGAAAATAGGAGCAAATGGGAGGGTAAACTCCCTGTTAACTTTTACTTTAGAGGAAATAATTAGTTAAATGACAACAAACAAAAAATATTAATAAAGGTCCTGAAATTAAATTGACGGATTTACGCGTGGAAATTCAATACAAATATATGCATACCTTTTCCAAAGAATAGATGTAGGATCTGCTGGATCTACCTTAGGAATATGGGAAAGAAAGATGAGCGGGGAGCGGAAGAAAAGATGACATGCGGATTTAAAAGATCCCCAAGTTTATGGTGCAGAAGCGAAACCCCGTTGAAACCTCAATAGGATGGATGGATTACCAACTCGTGCAGAGAAGCCTCAATAATATGTATATATATATATATATATTGAAGCTAACCAAAATAACCAAAATTCACAGAAATGAAGAATAGAAAAAGAATAGAGTGTGAAGGAATATGAAATTCCTATAGGGAGGGATAATCCTTCCCCCCCCCCCCCTCTCAAAAAACAAACTATTCCAGATATTACAAAAATGTTATAAATAACAACGTGTGATCAAGCGAAAACAATGAAATCAAAACGCAACACCTCGTTCCACAGTGCGTGGTTCGTCTTTGCCAAACAAGAGAGAAGCGGTCTTGTTTATCACCCGAAGCAGCCCTTCATGCACAGAAAAGTTTTCCACAAAACGATTCATCCCGTTGAGCCCGCCATGACAACTTACCCCTTTTTCCTTTTCCTTTTTCTCAGGAAGGGTTGATAAACTACCACTTAAACGGCATCCCCCTCAGCCGCTTTTTCCTTCCCACGACGCGCTTTCCGATTGTGAAACCAAATGAATCCAAAAGAGCGAGCGCCACGATATGATTTTACGGGGATCTTACACCCAGCATACGATGGTAAACGCGTGGGATTAAGATCAAAATTGTGAATTTGAACTTTGGAGAGCGCGACCAAGCATCGTAAAAGATGATCAGGAGGAGCGCCCTTGCCGATTCTTTAGCAGTTGATGCATCCCTATTGGATATTAATCATAGGCTTCGCTTCTACGTGGGAGAAAAGAAAAAAAAGAAAGAGAGAAAACACGACATCCGAACGATAGCGAAGGTGCTGCCAGAGAAAAGCATTAAAAGGCATCAAAAAGGGAAAGCATACCCCATCCATTTCAGCGGATAGGGATTAGGGGTTTGAGCTCTAAATTACAGATACTGTACAGCGTATAGTTACCACTACAAAAGATGTATAGATATTATTTAATTCTTCGTAACATTCCTTTCGCCGCATTCCCCCCCCCCTCGCTTTCTCCCTCGGTTGATTGTGAGCATAATCGGGACCCTTTTGGCATGGTATTAACCTCCCTAGTCGGTTTTTTCTCATTGTTTGTTCAAAATCCATCCATCAAATCGATGGATCAATAGGAATCCATATTTATTAATGGGAGGAGGTTTTTTTTTTTTTAATATTTTTACCCCCCCCCCCCCTGCTTCTTCTCCTCCTCCCATTAATCGCAGCGGTAGATGAGATGAATCCCGAGCGGGGTGGCGACGGGTTTGCTCACCTCCCCTCGCCGAAGCGCGAAGGCCGCGGCGTCGAAGGCCTCCGCGAAGGTGCCCTCCTCCACGACGCCCAAATCCCCCCCCCGCCGGGCGCTCGCGAGCTCGCAAAACTCCCCGACGGCCGCCGCGAATTCCTCCGGGGTCCACAACCCCCCCTTCCCCGCGCGCGTTTCGTGGCGGGCGCGAATAAACGACGCGATCTCAAGCGCATCCGCGTAGGAGCGGGTGATCACCTCGCCTTTGTTTCGCCCACGCGAGACGGGCTGCGCGACCTCGTGGTGTTTAATCACGAGATGAAACAGATGCGCGCGGCGAGGGGATGGCGACGACACGGAAACGGAAGGCATCCCCTCGGCGGTTTCCTCGGCTTCCCCTTTCACGGCGGATTCGATGGCCGTCGGGGGGATTTCCTCCACGGCGGAAAGGGAAAGGGAAGGGGAAGGGGAGGGAGGGGGGGGGGGGGCCGTGGGGCTCCCCTGAAGGATCCGTTCGCGGGCGTTTTCGGGATTCCTCGCGGGAGGGTGGCAAGCCTGCGCGGAGTTCGTACGCCCGGGTGCTATATCCAAACCGCACGATGCTTCCCACCGCGATGGGGAGGGGTTTTCGTCGGGGAATGAGCTCCCCATCCAGCCGCGTGCCGTTCGTGGAGCCGAGATCCATCATCACAAAACACGCCTGCGCTTTATGATACACCACCGCGGCGTGAAAGGCACTGATGGAGGGGTGCTCCAACACGAAATCGCACGCCCGGTGCTTTCCGAAGAGATAAAACGGAAAACGATGGAGCGCGAGCGCGGGGAACACCGCGCCGTCGCGGACGCAACGAAAATGAAACGCCCGCGCGGGCAAATCCGCCCACCCGGGGCAGCGGAAAATCGGGGTTTGGATGTTTAACTTCTGCGGATCCGTCGCGGCGAGGATGTGCGGGGGGAGCGTTTTCGCCTCCGCGGTGAGCTTGACCTCCGCGAGGGGCTTCCCGGGCTGCCCCACCCGAGTGGCGTGTTGAACATGGGCTAATGTATCAACAAGGCGATGACTCATCCGCCGTGGTAGTGTTTGGGTGTTCAATGAAACTATCCATGGGTTGAATAATAATAATAATAATAATAATAATAATAATAAAGAATCAGCATCACAAGCATCATAAAAAAAAAAAAATTAAAAAAAAGAAAATCGAGGGAAAACGGACGAGAAGTTGGAGATCGACTTGGATCAAGGGATTTCTTCGCCAAGCATCGTGTGGAAAAGGTTCGGGGCATGGTGGAGTTACACGCTCAAAGAAACCCCCATGGGTTCCCTTTCGTCGAATCTCGTTTATATCGCATTTTTTAAATATATATATATATATATATATATATATATATAATAAC